AAGTTTAATATAATATAAATTAATATTATAATGACATAACTTTGATTTTATAAAACAATTTTAATACAATTTGTTTTCCCAAAAAAATAACTTTAATTTATTTAATGAAAACTTTTAACGCAATAAATTTGTGTTAAATATAATTTATTTTTTATTTTGCAATTCAATTACTTAAAACCATTGCACACTTCAAGTATTATATATAAAAACTTTTTTCTCTTTCACTTTCGTATATATAATATAATTGATTATAAAATTATGAAATTTGCATAAAAAACCATTTTTAAAATTTGTATATAAATTATATTCATAATTAATGACTTAATTAATATATTTGAGTAAAAAACACATTTTACCATAAAAAACAATCTCTTCTTAAAATTAACTTTTAATTAAAGGCACAACAAAATGAGACTTTGAATAAATCAATAAAAAAACTCAAATAATTATTTGCTTTATATATAGTGTTAAGAAGTGTTGACTACAGTTAGAAAGAAGTGAAAATTATCTCATTATTAGGACAACCATTCAAATAGACATTAACGCTTAGATTTGATTAATAAGCAATAATTACAGTGCATTTAATCATCCCTTTCATTATAATTAACAAATACTCTTCAAGAGAGTCTCAATATTTGATTATTTACTACAATATCTCAGATACAGGAAAAAATCCCAAACAATCGCTTTGAAGTTGTGTTATATGTTTGCAAACGTTTACTGTTTTTAGAGATCAATATTTGGTTAAATCCTTAACACAACTGATCTTTCTTTTCGCTTCGCGTGTTTTGTGTGTCTCTCGTATTAATTAGCGTTTTCTATGATTCAAACCATCGTCGCTCTACTGTCCCCTCTCTCCTGTGGCCTCTCCAACCTCTCCATCCTCTCGGGTCTCTCTTCTCCTCCTCTGTCGAAGTTTCCGTCGATCTCTTCCTCTATGAAAACACTTTCCATTGGTATCTGTTGTTCAATAAATAATATGTTCACTCATTACTAATACTGTTCACTCTTATTGTCTTTGCAAACGTTAATGTTTGCAAATTTGTAGCTCTTTTATCAAAATCAGTTTAAAATGTGTTTAGCTTTCAGTGAAATCTTTTTTATATTTGTCTTAATTTATAAAAATAATGAGTATTTTTATAGTGAGCACTACTTTAACACTAATTTATATGAATTGAATTGAATGATCTCTGGGCGCAGTATATTTCATGTAATTTTAAACCCCAATAGACTTGTGTTCTTTAAACTCCTTTAATTGCTGCCAAAACTGTTAATACAGTGTTTGCCTAATATTAAGTAAATTATCATTAATTCAAATGTTGAGAAATAAACATTGAATAATGAGTTGATAATTGTATTTAATAAGAGACTCATTAGATGCAAAGGAGTGGTAATAACGTTATAATTGGTGATAACGGACCTCCAAGTGGGCCAACAATTGTTTTCCCTGTTGTTGTTTTTTCCACGAGTTTTTAGACTTTTTGGTATTCTTGGACTTCACGGCTCGTAACTCTTGTGACGGCAAATGCGGAGATCTTTTCCATTGAAGCTCTTTGTCGGGCAGAGGATGGGTGACAGACATCACACACTGAATGCCTTTTATGATGAACATTGACATCGCTCTGTAAATGCAATCAACAAACAAACAAAAAAAGTTATATTATTAATTGATTCATTGATATTCGCAACCAGTGGTCACATCTCAATGGTTTTGTAACATTAGAAAGAGTGATCACTCGTTGGTCATAATGAGAGCTAACGGAGTAATCCCTTAAATAGATATAAGTTTTGGCATAAGTTTTAGCATTGAATGAATGAATGGATAGTGTGTTTGGGACTCACATTGCGATCAACACACAAACCATATAGAGTTCCATCACTTATAATATATTATATTTTATGTAACGTTTAATATATGGATATTTGGTTCCGGGGGTTAAGGGTGTGGCGGATGACAGTATGCCTTCACATAAAGTCACTGGCAATGGATATCACAAAATATAATAGTGGAAAGCGTTGGTCGTGTAGTTCCCGATCATATCATTCAATAAAAATAAAACAATAAAATACGACAAAAGAGAGTATTCACTGAATATATGAGATATGTTTTCAATCAAACAGAATATGTGATGACATTAAGGAATCGCATCCATAAGTCGTAAACGCAATACGAAATGGTATTGAATATCAAAATATATTGTTATATATGATTGTGTTATGCGTTTGGAGCCATAGTTTTTAATGGAGACTACGATATCTACATGTATATAATGTTTACATTTAAATGAATGCCAGAATAGACATGAATTGCAGGTTTTTGTCTGTTTCTATGATGTTGTCGATGGAAGTAATGGCACTAAAAAACAGGTTGCGATCGTTGGGGCGGTATTTCACCTCCACTTACAGCACGTTTTGTATCGCCTTTCAGTCATTCCCAAGCATTCATTGCCTCAACATTTTTGAGCTCTTTTCAAATTTCATTTCAAACACGGCTTTCATTTCGCGATTAAAAAAACAATCTTTACATTCATTTTTTGTCGACTTTCGCTACTTATCTGAAAACATAATTCTTTTTATTATTATTTTATTTGATTTCTTATAGAATAGTAGACAATCCAAAGACATGTGATATGTATTATAACATTAATATGACATTAATTTATTAGACTTAATGTCATAAATCCTATGATTTAAATAAAACACACATTTATTTCTTACGTAAAAACATAATATTTTTATTATATATCCTTTTAAAATAATAGATTATAAAACATTACGTATTTTTAGTTTCTGTTTTAAGTATTTTATGATAAATTATACGATTTATTTACTTTAATACTAATAAAAATAATTTTGAAAACTTTTGCTTATTTAACAGCAAAACAGAGAAATCCAAATGATTAGAGTTAGCAGCAAAGAAAATGATAAAAATTCAAAAATCAAACCTAAAATAGTGATAATAACGGGAGGTATGCATCCATCGGAAACACCAAGCTCATTCATATGCGAGGGCACGTATTGTTTCAATATATCACTATTTGTTTTGACCCAATTTTCTAAATTCTATGCATTTATATTAAGGCATAATTAATTTGCTTTTGAGTGAACATCCAGTGGCCGTATGTTTGCGTCGATTCATCACATTTTATATAATACCGATCATTAATCCGGACGGAGTTTTTGTCGGCAATACTAGGTATTCATTAATTTATGCATTGCGTTATCAAATAAAAAATATGTGTTGCATTGTAAGATTGCCAAGGTAACTTATTTTAAAATATTGGATTTGAGAATTTAATTAAAATAAAATAAACATTATATTATCTTACACTTAATATATGTTGAATACAGTATAAATAAATGATTATTAACATAATACTTTAACTATTTACCAAGTTTGCTATCGTTTAACAGTAATAAAAGGTTCAATTTACAAAATATTAATTATAGTTCAAATTGAGTGCAAAACAATGCACTTTTATATAAAATCATAAATACTTATAATAAGTACTTTAGACTACATTTCACATGATTTACATATAAATAAATTAATAATTCATAAACATTTAAGTGAAGACAAATTAAGTCAATTAATGTTTAGAAATAATGAGAATATTATGGAATATTTGTGATAAAAATCACGTTTTGAATGCTGTATACGTTTGACAGGACATCAGTAATCGGCAGTGATCTGAACCAATGCTGGACTCTGTCGGCCGTCAAACATCCCGAACTCGTGGCCGTCAAACAAACGGTCCAACAAATAGCACAAACATATGTAAGTCAATGAAACATCTCTTTTATACAATATATTTAATCTTTTAATAACTACTTCTCTGTTATAAGAAGTTATACAATAATTGTCATTTTAATTATGTGAATAAAAATGGTTTCACAATTTAGCATTCTGCAAAATCAAGTCATATTTAGTAAAATTAAAGTTTTAAAAGCATTGATATATTCAAAGGCAACATGAATATTTTTAAATAATAAATCTAGTGCACTTTAGAATTATGCAATCGTTAAACATCACAACTAACTCTAAAATAAAATTTGAATAAATAATTTACGGCTAAAAATCTCTCAATTACTTTAAAAGTCTATAAATTATAAAAAGAAAAAACATGTTTATATAATTATATTATATTTCATAACAATATTGTATTTGTAATGCATTTGTCTGTTCTCAGGGAGAAGAGGTGGACGTATACATCGATCTTCACGCACACACCTGTCTGTTAGGCGCCTGTATTTACGGCGTTTGTAGGGATGATGTCTTCCATATGGAAAGACACGCTTTGTTTCCCAAATTATTGAGCCTAAGAGCGGATGACTTCTACATCGATAACACTGTCTATTGTAAGGAAACGTATCGCACGGCCAGTAGTACTCGGAGGTGAACATAACCAGTGCTCTGCTTATAGTCATTGCATTTCTTTTATTATACAATAAAATTTGCTATTTTTTATGCCACACACTATATGTCGGGCGATAATCGCCTTTTTATATGCCATACAATATATAAATTTATGTGTAACTGAAATATACATCGTGTTTGACATTCAGCTGTAAATCAAAGTTTTCTGTTTACAAATGTTATGCCGTTTTTGTGTTGTTATTTTTCTCGCAAATTTTTATTCATAAAATGATTGCCAATAGTAATACACACTAATCATATAAATGCTCTCATTTTACAGTTATATGACATCTATTTTTCACCAGAAAACAAATTGTTATACATTAGAAGTAAGCCATTATGGCTATTATGATAAGCAGACTCTGGGCCACACTATCATCCCTTACACACCAAACAAATGTATTTTTCCATTTCAACAATCATTTTCTTTCTTTGCCTCACAATTCTTGCACAGAATACAAACTTTGGCTAAACATTGAATATTTCTTTTAAAATATTAGATAAACTATTGGGTGAGAGTGTAGTGATTGGCCTTTTGGACAGTTATCGGATCATTGGCCACATATTGCATATGGATATACCACCAGAAGTGATGCATTTGTTATCGCATAGCAATGACGGAACAGTTACTCCCGATGACTACAAACTTAAGAATCCCATCACTTCGGAGTCTATTGAACCAAATGTCGCTCAAAACGAGTGATCAGAAAATCAATTTATTATATTATATTTGCAAATGTAATAAAAATCAATTCCAGACCTAATCTGAAGATTTAATGCCTTTTCCTTTCCGTTCAAATGTTTCAAATATAAGATATATTAAACTCTATCATAGATTACATTATTTTCACTTCATTTCGATGTCAATTCAATTATAGTGTAGAAAAAAATTTGATTTTGATGTTCAAAATAATATATTTATTTAATGCTTTTCAACAGTGAAAGTGTGTTAATCTGTGTCTCTTTGTGCAACTTCTGGGACACAAATACCTTTATATGACAGCCTTAGAGCACAAGAATGCAAACACATTGTTATAAAATGATTAAATTATTCCTTTGCCTAAACTATACAAATAAATTCTTGAAATGAAATAATTGTATCAATTCTTTGGACAAAAACCGATAAACTATAAGAAATGGTTTGCTTTAAATGGCAAGAAAATGAGCGCAAAAAGCAATTTCAGTCTCTGATCCCTCACTGACGGGCAAATCATTGATTTTTCATATTTCAATGCATTCAATGCATCGATATGTGGGGCAGAGAGAGAGAGAGAGAGAGAGAGAGAGAGAGAGAGAGAGAGAGAGAGCTGGATCAGCAAAATTTGCAACCCATTGAATAACAGACATTGAATGCATTCTTGAGAATCACATCTCAGATACTTTGTTGTCATTAATTTTGTGCGATTTCAGCGCGAATACAATGCAATACATTATTATATTAAACGTATAAATACTGAACATTACTTAAATGTATATAAATATTGTAAAGAATTCAATGGCAGACAGAGTTCTGGTAATGCTATGGCTATAACTATAATAAATTTTTCGATACATTAACTCTGTATAGAAATTGGTTATGAATAACAAAATCACAATCAATTCCCCGCACAAAATAATTGTAACATTTATTTTTGTTATTCACTCAAACACTTGATATGGATATGATGTGAAAACATTAATATTTAAACAATATTTCTAAATAAATAATTAGTTTATTAAAGAATATATGACTTACCCCTCAATAATTTACTAAAGATTTTGTTATATATTACATGTATTAGTGTTGTGTAAAAAATAATGTTATGTTTGGGCCAAAAAAGCATCGATAAAATCAATTTCTCATAAATGCAACTGAAAATCAATTTCTCGTATACTTTGTATTTTAGACGACAAAAAATCCATCAAATATTTCTATTGAAAACCGATTACTCATTGATCTTATGTTTATTGATAACCGAAAAAATAAAATGCATTCAAATTCTTGTCATTTCATCAAAAAACAATTAATTGAAAACGAGTGGAAATGAATTTAAAAGTTATGTTTTAAATATCAAATAAATCATTTCATTTAAAACACATTACCAGTAAAAACGGGTTTGAATTTTATATTAATTTATGTATTTATTTCATTGAATAATATATATATCACTTGATTTATGCAATCGATTGTCATTTTTGGGTCTTTGACTGACACTCAATGAATTGAATTTTGAGATAATTTCAAAACAACTGGATTTCATGTGAATGACATGAATACCATTTACTGTATTAAAGCTCTTCATAAAAGCAATTCTTATTCTTTCTTTGAGATTAAAAGTCAGTACAAAATCATTACTCGATCTCTAGTTTATTGTTCACTTACTGGCCATCAATGGACACAATCGTATGAAAGTCAATACGCGAACCACTATTTCAATAATAATACAAACTTTGTTTGAATCAAATATCAAAGCAAATAAAACACATTGAATGACAATATTTAATATATTATACACAATAAATTTGTGGCAATAATTCTATGCCTTAAACACAATACTGATCAATAAATACAAATATATTTATATATTCTGCAGTTAAGATCAACTACTAGTGGATAAATATGTGGCAAATGGGCTAAAGTTTTGAAATTATTTCAATTCAATGAATTTCAATTTTAAATTCCAATAAAAATCTTGCGATTTGTATTTATTATGAAAATAAAGTTCTCCTTAAGACAACCACTTTATTTTCAAACTCATCTCTATTTGTGTCTTAAAACTTAACAATATTTCTTATGTTTCAATTCATACTGTATTCCCAAATCTCTAATCATTACTATTTTAAATGAATGTTTCATATATTCTTGTAAACAGATATTTGTATATTTGACATACATATGGTTTATTAGGGATTTGCAAAAACAATAGTTTCAATACAATATTTCATTCAGTTTTATCTACTTTACTGTTGGGCTAATCAACAATTAAAAGTCAACGTAAAAATACATGAAATATAAGTTACATTTTGAATGCTAAACTATTTCAACAAATAAAATAGAGATGAAATTACATAAACGAGAGAATAATATCAGCAAAATATATACAGTATATGCAGTATATTATAGTAATAATTGTGATCTCACATCAATGTAGGTCTAAATGACATACAAATCACACAATTGTTTCATAATAACGAATGCATAGCACGAACTAAACTGCCTTTCCTTCACTAATCAAACTGTTTTTTAATTCACTCTTATTTTTAATATTAAATTTGTTTTTTATGAGCGAAAAAAGTCGCTAAAAAGTATAATCTTAGCGTTTGATCAGTTTTTACTCGCTTTAAATCTTTTTGGCATTGAATTCAATTGAATAATACATTTGCCGTCAAAAACGAGTGTAAAATAAGAAGAAAAAAATGTGAACAAGAATTCAATCAATTTGCAGACAATTTCTTTGCTTTTTAGTAAAAAGCCATACCTTTTGCATTTGTGTTGCCTTTCATTTCATTAATAGTGAACGCAATTTCAATTGCGATTATATAACACACCATTCATGTAATTCTTCGATACCTATTGTTTGCATCCATTTCTGATCCAAAGAAGCAGAAGAAAGAGAAGAGCTATTAGAAGATATGGCATTTCAGGGGCCGTCTTATGGATTGAGCAGAGAGTGTCAAAAAAAGGTATTTTTCAATCATATTTTATAAATTAAATAATTATTGTAAACGCTAAATATTTAACAAACTGGTCATTAAGTCTCTGTTAAAGTTTGATATAAATCTGGCTTTGGAGGCATTGGATTGGGTGCGAGGGGTCACTAATCTGGCTCTGGAGGCGCCCAACGCCCAAAAAGGATTTCAGGATCAGTTTGATTTCGCCGATTGTCTTAAAGATGGTGTCGCTCTTTGCTGGTAATAACAGTATTTCATTTGACAAACTTTTAATTTCTGATTTAAAAGCAATTTTAACTGTTTTATAATAAAGTTTGTGTTAACACTTGTTTAGTCTCATCAATATTCTGAGACCCGATTCTGTGGTCAGAATTAACGAATCGAAAGCGCCGTTCAAACAGGTCTGCAATTCGTGTCAAAACAAAATCAATAAATCCAGAGCTCATTGACGAAAGGCATCATTACTCGAGTCTCTATGAGAAAAATATATAATTTAACACTAGATTTGACTTCAATTTTAAAGTCTTATGGCATAAAAGAGCGCTCCAGTAATGACATCATTACTATCCGTAAAATGATGTCTGGATGTGTTGACCCAAATCCGACTCAATTGAATTTGCTTTTCAAATCAT